TTCCCCCGCCCCGCCTCACCGCAGCAGGGAGAGCAGCAGCAGGTGGATTTCCTGGGAGAGCAGGGCCATGGGCCAGACATGGAAACTGCAGGGCCCAGTGTCTGTGAGAAACTCTTTTAGTATTAAAAAACAGAGGCTTTTCCAGTGGGGGATTCCCATCTGGTCTTTGGGACTGGGCAGGATCCTGCAGCAGGCTGCCTCGCCTGCAGGGGAGTGGGCAGGATGGGCCGCCTGGCCCTGCAGGGGAGTGGGCAGGGATGGGTCACCTCGCCTGCAGGGGTGTGGGCAGGACAAGCCGCCTGGCCCTGCAGGAGAGTGGGTGAACGGCCAGTGGAATCAAACACTAAGGCGACCCCAGAACACGTCTGCAGAAGTCTCTTCTGACGCTCAGTGGCTTCAGTCCTTGAACACCAAGGCCCAGAACTCCCGGGCTGAGAAGTTCTGATTCCTATCAACCAGCCAGCGCAGGGCCTGGGCTTCTCGCTTGGACTGCTGGAAGCTGGGCACCCACAGCTCCCGCCAGGAGCTCCGCGGAGCCGCCGCTGGGGAGAACGCGAACACAGAGGGCTCCGGGCAGCGCAGGTGGGCGGCTTCTGCCTTCCACCTCCGGGGCGGCAAGCCCTGCATGGAGAGAAGGGAGAGCGGGGTTAACGACACGCGGCCCAGCACGCCCACCACCTGGCAGGACAGAACCCCTCGCGTGCTCCCGGAGCTCACCTCCCTCCAGGGTCTCAGCAGTGGAGGGACAGAGGCAGGGAGGGGCGGAGAGCTCAGCACCTCGAGACGCCCAGTGGCCCAGTGCCCAGGCTCGGAGGGGCTTGGGGGGCTCGGCTCCTAGGCACTAGGCGCTCTGCAGGGCCTTGCGGGTTCTCCCGCAGGTGTGGTCAATGGGCTCCACTACTCCCCTCACGGCGGTGGGACTGCGCTTCAGAAAGTGTCCCGCACACCCCCGCGTACACGAAGGCTGGACCCGGCCCTCCCCGGTGAGAGGCTCCCCTCCCTCGGTTGTTGTTCTGTCAGTTTGTTTACTTATTCCGTTTCCCCTGTACCCGCTCCCCGCAGGAGGTGTGCTTGACGCAGCTCTTGAATTTGAAATGCTCTTTGCAAACGTGTCTCGTTTTCCGGACGCCGACTGTTTATTCACACGGGTTACGCTGTCTCATCCTCTGCTCCTTTTCCGTGGAGCACTGTCTCTCCACCCACCGTGACACACGTGTGCTCACCCCTGGCCTTCAGCGTGCCCCCACTGCGCTCAGCTGTCCCCACGGCCACACCCGGCACCTGCACTGACGTGCCCACGCGGGCCTCTGCTGCCATAGCTGGTCACTTCCGTGGTGTCCTGACTGCCCGGTCCACCCCTGTCCCTGCGGGCTGCACCCCGAGGCTCCTCCTGTCCCAGGTTAAAGTCCAACCTCACAAGGGCTGTAAGGCCAGGGTGCTGCCGGCAAGCTTCTCAGGGAGGGAGGAAGGAGATGAGAGAAGAAGAAAGTGAGGAGGAAGGTGGAAGGAGGAAGATGGACAGACAGACTGGAGAATGGCAGACTGAGCACGCGGCCACTGTCATGGCCTCCTGGACACCGTCGGGATGGGAGGAAAGCCCGGAAGGATGGGAGGGCGAGACGGGAGGCGGGAGGGTGAGAGGGGAGGTGGGAGGGCGAGAGGGGAGGCGGGAGGGCAAGAGGAGAGGACGGGAGGGGAGGCAGGAGGGCGGGAAGGGAGGCGGGAGG